CCCCCACTGGGGATGTGCCCGCAACCCAGGCACATGCCCCTGACCGGAATCGAACCCGGGACCCTTCAGTCCGCAGGCCAACGCTCTATCCACTGAGCCAAACCGGCTTCGGCAACGGTTGGCCTCATTGTATTCCAAACAACAATACAGCAAGTTCCTGCACTGAAAGGCTTAAGGAGGCCAAGGCTTTGGGGAGATGTGCAGAGATTAAGGAAATCGGAGTGTGGTCCAGCTGTAGGGCCTGTGATTTGTGGCATCCCAGTAGCTCCTGCCTACAGAAGTATTCTCTCTGCTCACCCAGGGTTGATTTTAATTTGTGTGTTATTAAATAAGCATTATTTTGTCTTATGTGGTGCTTAAATGTTCCTTTTCTTTAAAAATGGAGTAAGATGATTGGACAGAAGTCATGATTCCAGATTTTCACCAACTTCAGCTTCCAGCTATATGATTTCTATACTCTCTACTCTAACTCAGGGTTCTCATTCACAATCTAGTTTTCCTTATATGCAGATCTGAAATATGTCCCTACTGGAAATGGAAATATGATCTTGAAGTTTTTCTGTTTCATGGCTTCTGTATGATAAGGAAAGGAAATACAAGTTATAAAACTAAGTCCTTGGTCTACTTCAAAGAATAGAAATTTTTTCACAATTACAAAAACATTTGTGTGATTATCTTAGTAGTTTTGAGTAAGAAAGACATTTCTCTTTATCTGTAAATAAAAATTGTGACTTGGAGAGGGTGGGGAATACATAGACTCCAAACACTAATCTTAAAATAATCTGTATTTCAGAAGTCTTTAGTATGTCCCAGATATTTTAAAGCTTAATTCTTATATTAAATAAATATGCTCTCACCTCCAAATTTTTATTTTATTTTAAGGCAAAGCCAGGGAAAACAAGCCTTTTCAGTTGTAATATTCTCCACTGAAGTATTTTACAGTTTAGTTTTTAATAGATGTCTGAAAAAATAGAACGCTCAGTTGCTAACTGCCAAATTTTAATTATTCAACCAATTTAGGTGGTTCAGTTGAGCCTGTGACATTGACTATAATAACTTAATTTATATACATGCAGTTATTTGGCTTTTACATCTTGTTTTTCTCATATACATAAAAAATCTGAATACTAAAGTACATTTTGTTTTTGTCTTAGAACTTTTCAGTGTTAATACCTAATTATTAATTATCAGAATAACTCTTTACAAGCCATCCTGCAATTGTTGAATTGGTGGTTCTCTAAATAAAGGAGTTTGAGTCAGAATTCAGACAGAAAACTTTAAAAAAAATTTAATTGAATTTATAGTGTTCTAACCAGGGAGCTTCAGGGTAAAGTTCTTTTTTTCCATTGTCATTTTGGTAGGTACTCAAAATAAGCCAGTTTCCATAAGATGAGACGTTCCATTTGGTAATAGTTTGTTTTTTTCCATGGAAATGTAGTGACTGCAGTCTTATTTCTCAGAAGGTTTGGGGAATTATGAGTCGTTCTATATGGCTGGGCCCATAATCCCAGTGAACAAGTAGAATGATGAAATCAAACAATGAAGGATGGGAAGGCAGAAAACTCATGGCAGCCAGTCTGCATTCCCAGGGGAAAGATAAGACATTAAGGGCAGATGGTGTCTTGGTAAGAAAAGCCCTGGAGGGGAGGCAGGGTGGTCCTAAGTGCTGGTGGGTCCTGCTGCCTTTGCACTGTAGAAGGTGACAAGGACACAAGTGGCCAGCACTGAGTACTGCCTGGCATTGTACCCCTGCTTCATGGTAGACCAGCCTGTGACCTTGAGGAGGGTTCCAGTCTCTGGATCTTTTATCCAGGCCTACCTTATAGGAGGTGTATGTTTTAGTATATGTGCTGCCGAAGCGAGCACTAGGAGGTGTATGTTGACAGGAGGTCAAGGGGACATGTCTAAAGGAGCCCTGCAGGTAGAAATCTCTGAAAATGTGGCCACACACCTGACATATGGTGTCCATTGAATTAGAACCCAGGCCTATGCTTCATACTCTGGCTAATTTCCTTTTCCATCCTGTTTGGGCCTTTCCCTCAGCTCTTTGCAGCATGATCTCTTTTTATATTGATACTAGAGGCCCGGTGCATGAATTCATGCACTGGTGGGGTCCAGCCAGCCCACCCTGATCAGGGCCGGGGGTCGGGGGGGAAGGGCCAGGGGTGGTTGGCCGGCAATTTGCATATTAGCCTTTTATTATATAGGATATAGTCACATCAGGGCAAAAGTACCAAGTTTCCAAACTTGGTAGACATTGACAAAATGTTAAATTGTCTGCTTCTCAATGGCTTGTGTGGAGATACTTAGTCTCCTATGCAACTGGTGTTTCCAACCCTCCCTCCCACCCCCATCCCCATAAAGGGAGTTATTTCTTTAAGTTCGTGCTTGCTTAAAATGGCTGATCGTGTAAGTTGAGTCCTAAAAAAATGTATAGTTTCCTTTGGATCGGACAGTGTGGGTGATTTAATGTTAACTTTCTCTTTTCTTTGTTTGCAGAGAACATGCTGATTTGTCTTCTTTCTCCATTCTTACAGGTTGGTGATATTGTGAAAGTCACAAGGATGAACATAAATGGCCAGTGGGAAGGTGAAGTGAATGGGCGCAAAGGGCTTTTTCCTTTTACGCACGTCAAAATCTTTGACCCTCAAAACCCAGATGAAAATGAGTGATTGCCGTTGGCCCTGTTTTCTACTGCTTAGTTATTCTGTCCGTCATAGTCTCCTTTGAGGGAAAGCATTCTATTTCATAGGCAAGTTACACTGCATTGCCGAAGTCCAGCTTTCTGCAGACTGGCGGTCTCATACATGTTTGGAATGCACACAGTGGCTGCCTCGGCATTTGTATCATAGTTGTATTGTCAAAGAGTAGCGGATTTTAGAGTTCTTTTGGATCATAAACTGGAAATACTGGTGGAAGCACACGAATGGAAAGAAGTTGACGAGGGAAGGGTCCTTCTCATCACTGCCCTGTTGTACTTGTGACTGATTCTGTCATGTTCATCAGAGAAAGCTTGAGGCCATGGCGAGACATTGCACATTACTGTTCCACAAGCAGCGGCTCAGTTCTAGTTTGTTTTTTCTTTAAAGAGCAGAGCAAGTGAACCTTAAAGAAGAGGAAATTCTGTCCTAAACTCCCCATATCTGGCTCTTCTCTTTTTTTCTTTTGGTTTGGTTTTGGAAGACTTAATTAGGCTTGTGTGTTCTGAACAGGCTTTTAAGTAGCACATTGGATTTTTGTGATATCACAAGGAATGACACGTGCCTCTCAGCTTCCAAATTGAAGCTACTGTAACTGAGGAAATGAAAATACAAATCTGAAATGGAGGCCTGTATTGTCTTGGTTGGCAGTGGTATCTTTTAGCCATATAGCAAACAACACCAAAAAAATCAGCAGTCGTGGTATGCCAAGCTGTGTGGGCAGCTTCTTGGATTACATTGTCCCCAACAGCAACAATATGGAGGGTGGTTTGGGGAAACCTTTGCCCATCTTCCCACCTTATTTGCCAATGACAGAAGCATATGGGGAGGGGGGTTCTTGGCCAGTTTTCTGTCCTGTGGTTCAGTGAATAAACCCCTTTAAGGTATAAGACTTAAGTTTCTTTAAAAAGGGAGGTTGTTCATAGAATCATCTAATTCATTAATGAATCTTTAAATTCTCTCTGAAGCCTAGTCCTCCCTGCTACAGCCTGGACTCACCAGGCTGCAAGAGAAAGATGGTGCTGCTAATACTGGTTCTACAGTCTGTGTGCCCATGATGCTCTCCAGTAAAAAAAATGCAGAGTCTGGAAATTGCTTAATACATTTGATGTCTAATGTTTTAATGACTAGGGAGAACCATTAACTAATTTTACCAGTAATCATTTACCAGGTTTTGTTTTTAATATGTTTTATTGATTTTCAGAGAGAGGATGGGCGAGGGCTAGAGAGATCAATGAGAGAGAAACATCATTGATTGGCTGCCTCCTGCACGCCCCCTACTGGGGATCGAGCCGCAACCTGGGCATATGCCCTAACTGAGAATGGAACCAGTGACCTCTTGGTTCATGGGTCGATGCTCAACCGCTGGGCCATTTACCAGTTTGATGTTAAAGTTTCCCTGTCAGCTGAAAGAGGCCTGTTCATACAAGCCAACTGGTACAAATCGCTATAGCAAACCAGAATGCTGGAACCTTTTTGCAGTTCAGTCTGCTCTCCCTTCTAGACACTGGTGAAGATGGGCCTCAGCTCAGAATGAACACAGCAGACCTAGAGATGTAGCAGCAACCTAATGAGCAGTTCTGTATCATTTAAATTTTTCCTTAAATCAGAAATAAATAAATAAATAAATTTTTCTTTAAATCAGTATTCTATCAGGCAGGTAACACCATATTATTAAAGAATCTTGATAGTGCTCCTGTATGAAAAAATTAATGATCATTTGGGAAAAAATACACCGTGGCTGCCTGTCTGTAGTTATCCTGAAAGAAGACAACAATCATCTCTTCCTAATCAAGTGAAAACTGTGGCTCTGAAGGTACCCATCCATTGCAGTTGCCTCTTGACAATAGTTGGCTCAGAACATAAGAAGTAACATGCCATTTTGGAAAGCAAGGTTTCCTTTCAGCCATGTCTGCTGATCAGTATAGCAAGACCCACATCATGTAGAGCACTTCAGAATCAGAACACTCACAACCTAGATTTGGCTTCATAGTAAGTCTGCTCATCACTTCAGCCCACATACACGTCTCCAGGACTGTGCTGGAGACTTGGAGCCTCAAATAAGGTGAGCTTTGAGTTCTGAGCTCTTAAGATATGTGCCAAAAGTAGCACCTTTTTTACTTAGAACCTTACTAGTTTTTTAATCAGGCAGGGAAATTCTCTTTTCACACTAAACATACAATAAACGGCACCCCTGCCTTGTTTTCATGCCTGGGTTCCCAGCAGCCTGGGAAGACTGCTTCAGAAAGTGATGTGAATCTTCCGAGGAGCTGCCTTCCTCCTGGGCACACTTCCTTTTAGGATTGTTCATTATTGCTACTTGCTCTACTGTTTGTCATGTAAGAAAATATTGGGATGTTAAATTATCTCACTTGGGAAGTGAACAAGTTACGTACTAAAGGACATTGACAGTTTGATTCAAAACTTATTTATCCTGGGAAGGACCTCCAACACAGGAGTCATTCTTGTCATTTCTGCATGGTGTGGTCCCATCTGATGACACGGTTAACAAAGAGGAGGACACGTGGGCTGCCATTTGACGACTTAAAGTGGCCCAGAGGAGACGGCTTCTCTGCTCATGGTTGGAAAGCTGAAAGGAGGGAAGGACAGCTGCTCCCTCCTTGAGCTCAAGCATCCCTGGCACTGTGCTAACTTTCTTTTACAGCTGTTTACAGACAAGGCGGGCCGAGACAGACGGCCACTGCTCTTGTAATGTTTGCTCAGAGGAAAATGAACATTTTATTTTTGAAAAGGGATGATGTGTTTTTGTGCCAGGTGTTTATAATTTAATCCTTTAATATTATGTTCATTAACTTCTTAAAAATGAATGAATTCTTGTTTTAACACAGTACCTAAGACTAATGTTTTCTGTGGACACCACTGAGGTCTGCCTCAAACTCCACTCTCTGGGACTGGAGACCAACGTCCCTGGTAACTGCTGACAGTGTGGACACTGCGCTAGTTGTTTATTCTAAAGGAGTAGGACAGCTCTCTGAGACAGGGTCGTTGTCTCTGCAGGAGGAACAGTGGCCTTGCTTCTAGACGGTCTTCACTGTGTGTTTTAAAACAACACAATACTCTTTTGACCTGTAACTTAAAGATCGTAAATTTCAGGCAATAATATTTTCTGTGTAAGCTTTTAAAATTATTTTTTGGGATCATAGCTTGTTTTATTTTGTGCTATAAAATTAACAGTATTAAATTACTTATATTCTTAGAACACATCGAGTGTCTTTTCTTAACAGATTAGTGCCTTTTTATTTTTGTATTTCATTTTACGTTACTGGTCCCAGCATCAGAACCCTTGTTTCCATGGCCTTGTTTGTACATTGTCTCAATAAAACTTGCATCAGCCGGTGGTGGCAGCAGCTTCAGTGTTTCGGTGTCTCCTCAGTGCTGCCTGGAGGTACTCAGCCCCGACCAGCCTCCTAGCAGTTCCTGGTGAAACACCAGGTGCTTCACGGAGCATAAGTCCTGCAACCCAGCCCTGCTACTGACCATGAAATAGAATGGGATCTTACATCAGCCCTTCCACACCACAGCTCCTCCCCACAGAAGAAACCACCTGGTGCTTAATCTCGGCCTGCTGAGGATGGGGCAATAGTTGCCACACTTTATATCACCAAGGTAAACTTAGATGTTTTTCCTAATAGGTCACCATATCTGAAGGCCTCTTAAATATTTGCTTAGCATGAGCTAGCCAGAGTTGAATTGTTTCAAACAGAAGTCACAGAAAATGAGTAGCCTCATCCCAGATCAGGGCATGATATCTGGCTTTTAAAAATCCTTTTCTGTTCCTGTCTGTACATGGGACTCCTGATGAATTCTGGGGACCTTTAGGTGGCCACTTGAGGTGCTGGCAGCTCACTGATTTCCCTGACACCCCTCAGCCAGAGCCCTGTTCCCATGCCCATTTACTAGTATGTGTATTGAGAGGTCCGAATTTTGTGGTGAACCTCCGGAAATGAGTTTCAGGAAGTGCCATATTTATATAGAACTTGGCACTTCCTAGCGATTTCAAGAATCTGCAGAACTGGAGAAAAGTTTGTCTTAAATGGAAATAGCAAAACTGTCAAATCATTCTTGAAAAAAAAATGTGCCGGGGACACCTTTAAAAAATACTTTTAGTTTGAAAAGGTGTTTTGGTCAGCAATCCTGGACTGGGTTCCTCTGAATCAGGGAACCCTTAGAAATTGGGGTGGGGGCTGCTCTTCCCCAGAGGCAGCTGCCACAGGGTCTGGTGGCCATACACACCCCATTCTCCTAGGACAGGAGTGGCCCAGCTCTGCCATCGCTAAAGTGGGAGTGGGCACCAGTGGAGGAGGGCGGTCCAGAGCAGGTGGTAGGCCAGGGAGGACAGCCCGCACCCACCCACTCACCAGAGAGCCCTGGGGAACCCCACTGTAAAGGCTAAGGGGCCTGAGGAAGGGGAAGCCTTTTGAGTGGGTGCCTGAGGCACAGGCAGTAGATGGTCAGTAACTACATAGAGGGCAAGTAAGGGCTGGTGCCAAGAGAAGGGACAGCCCAGCTGGCCAGAGTGGCTCAGTGGTTGAGTGTGGACCTATGAACCAGGAGGTCACAGTTTGATTCCTAGTCATGGCACATGCCAGGGTTGCAGGCTTGATCCCCAGTTTGGGGCTTGCAGGAGGCCGTCAACAATTCTCATCATTGATGTTTGTATCTCTCCCTCTCTCTTCCTCTCTGAAATCAATAAAAAATATATCTTTTTAAAAAGAGGAGGGACCTGGGCAGGGCTGTGCCAGGTCAGTAACCAGAGGAGGGGATCCAAGCCCCAGTGCCAACCAGCCAAGGAATGGAGATTGGCAGCCCAACTGAGCTCACCAAGACTCATGCTCAGTCCTTGCCCCGCTGTCTCCTGGCCTCCCTGCTCCCTTCCAGTCCAGTGCCAATCCTAGTTGCTGGTATGTTTTACTCCTGAAGACCCATGTGAAGAAAACCCCTTACCTAGTTCCTCCCTGGCCTGCGATAACACTCCATGCCATGCCCCTGCCCAGCACCCAAAACTCAGGCCAGACTGGACTGACATTCTGAATGCCCCAGAATTTGACTCCATACCTCCTTGCCTTTGCCCACATGTTCCTTCTGCTTGGATGCCCTTCTCTCCTTTGATGAACTCCCAATTGGTACATCTGTCCTTAGCTTCTGCCACCTCCTAATAAAGCCCTCCTGACTTTTCCGCCCCTCCCATGAGGACTGGAATTAGGACTGGTGCTCCCAGAGCCTACGAACAGAACTTTGGGAGGGCCCAGGCTGGGCTAAAGAGGCTTAGGGGGGCTGGAGCTAGCTTCAACAGAGTCGGAGAGAATCCAGAGAACCCAGAGGGTGCTGGGAACATGATGGTCAGACTGTAAATGAGATTGAGCAGGAGAGAGACTAGACTGCAGTAGCCAGAGCAAGCTAGGGAGTCAGAGATGAGGCTGGGGGTGGGGCTTCACCCGCACTCCCCAACCTGAGGATTCCCCCAACTTCTGCTTCTAAAATAAATCACTAAATAAATAAATAAATCACTAGCTCTGGGCATACCACCCATCTCGCCCCTCAACACAGCTGGCTTCAGCTCAGATGTTGGCTGTGCTGTATCAGTACCCCAACATTTCCTGTGGATCTGTTAGTCAAACCACGGTCTCCCTATCTGAAAATCCAGGGAAGAGGCCCCCACTCTCAACCCCTTCCCTCAGAACCCTAAAGTTCAGGGAGGGACATGCAGGCCCTCAGACTGGCCTCCAGGGGGCACCAGTGTTAATCACAATGTTAGACATTACAGCTATCCCATTTTAACTAAAAAAGGACTATCCTGCACGCTGGGGTTGGAGACCCTAGGCTTGGGGGGAGTGAGGAATAAGGAAACTGACAGGAGGGGGAAGATGTAAGAGGGCAGAGACAGGCTTGCTGCACCAGTGAGGGTACTCCAGGGCTGGCGGGGAAGGGCGGGGAAGGGATCAGCCACTTGCTTCTCAGAACTTAGCAACCTCCTTTCTGCCTTTGGGGTGTCTGCTGGTCTAGGGGGATCTTAGCTTCCCCAGGTCACCTCACTGTATCTCAACCTGGAGCTTGATTTCCCTCTTTGCTGACATTAGGTATTAGCAAGGCTCCTATCACTTTGTCAGAATCATCTTTGGGGCTAGACCAGGGCCTCAGGCTACCCAAGGCTCAGAGGGAGGCCTACTGATGGTCCTTGATCCCCTTGTCCATGACACCAACCCAGTCTGGCCGCCCTCCATGAAGCAGCACTCAGAGCCTAACTCTACTTCTAGCTTTTGCTCCATAGGGATCTTGCAATTTCTGCCCCACCATGGGACACCAAAGCCCTGAGCCCAATCCCCAGGGCAAAGGGCACTACAGTGGGCTCCCCCATGTCAGGAAATCACCCCAGGTTGTTTGCCTCCTCAGCCCCCATGCTGACCTGTCCTCCAAATTTTCTCTCTGGCACCCCAAGCTCAGTAGCCCCCACCCCACACAATCTGAGTGCCTGGCTCTGAACCTGTTACGGTGTCCTGGAGGCAGCCCCAGCTAGGGGGCAATGCAATTACCCCCATGTTTCCTGGGGAACTGAAGGCAGAGGGGGTTCACTGATTGAAAAGGTCACAGAGCAGGACTTGGACTCTGAACTGGAGACACTGAGGCCGTGGCTGAGCCTGGAAGGCCTTTCCCGTCCAACTCCCACCTTTCAACCTTGTAAGCCCAGCACAGCCTAAGCCAGCCTGCCAGGATTCAAGTCTGTGCTCTGTCACTCACCAGCTTTGTGGCCTTGGGGAGTCCTGAACCTCTCTGAACCTCAGTTTTCCCATCTGTAAAATGGAGATGATACAAAGAGGAACTTCCTCCTCAGGCTATTGTGAAGATTAAAGTAAATGAATGTGAAGCCATAGCCATGGTTTTGGGGCACACTGTCGTCCTGAGTCAGGTAGGGAGTGGGGTAAGGGTTGGGGGCACAAGGTCAGCATGTATATGGAATGGTGGTAGGCTGGTTGGAGGATAAGGGCACTGGGCCCAAGCAATGCCATCTGCCCAGTGATGGGCCTCTCCTGTGGCAGTGGCAGCGGCAGCAATCAAACTGTGAAAACCACACATGGCCACAGAGGATGGCCTGAGCTGAGCCACACGTTCCCTCCATGCCTGGGCCCCACACCCACCTGCATGAGTGAGACCGATGCAGGCCCTGGTCCTGCCCCTAGAGAAGACTCAACCTCTGAGCATCCCCATCTGCAAAATGGGGACGTGGGGGTTGTGCTGGCCCCCAGGTTGTGCTGGCCCCCCTGGAGGAGGTATGGCATAGTAAAGGATTCCCTCCAAAGGCTGTGTTGTCATCCTTACGGGAGAGCAAGGCCAAGAAAGGGGAGAGGCAGAAAATAAACAAGGACCCAACTCACTCAAACCACCAAAGAAGCAATAATAGGACAACAGAGTTGGTGGGCCCTGATATGTTTCTTACACAGTCAGTGAATACTAGTTTGCTAGTGAGACAAAAACACAGCAGAAAGATCTGGACAGTGGGGACAATGAAACACTGAGGTCCAGGAGTCAGGTGTCAGGTCCTGATGGAGTCAGAATATCAGGTCCTAGATGTTGATCATGGAGCGCTTCATGGAGGAAGGACACGACACCAGGGTGCACCAGGATTTCTGGGGACTCGGGTAATTAAATTCTCCTGGTATAATGATAGGTGGGAAAGAGAAAATGTAATAAAACACAAATTAAAATAGAACATAGAACATATAATGTTCTCCCCATTCCCACCGCCAGAGGGGAGGGAGGGAACTAGGAGACCTGGGAGACTGAACCCCCTCCTCCCCAAGCCGGTCAAGGTATCTGAGGGGCAAGCGGGAGTGAGTCGGGTTTTCTTTCTTGGAGAGGTTTCTCCGGGTGATTCAACTTTTCCCCATGGCTGCCCACGGATGGCTCAAAGGCAGGATATAAAAAGAAAAGGAGCCCGAGCCAGTTTGGCTCCTTGGATAGAGCGTTGGACTGCAGACCAAAGGGTCCCGGGTTCGATTCCGGTCAAGGGCACGTGCCTCGATTGCAGACTCTTCCCTCGCCCTCGCCCGGGTCAGGGTGCCTGCAGGATGTATTTCCCTCTCTCTTCCACTTTCTCTAAAATCAACGGGAAAATATCCTCGGCTGAGGATTAGAAGAAGAAAAAAATCTGAGGGACCCGGTGCGCCTCCAGCTTGGCGTCCCTTGGGGTTCGCAAGGAGCGCCGGGGTCCCGGGACCTGCCAGCGTCCCGGC